ACAAGAAAAGGCAAATGTATAGAGACCAAAGTTTATTAGTGGGATACCTGGGGTGGAGGGAGGGAGGGAGAAAGGGGGGTTAACGGTAACAGAAATATCGCATTGATTAAGGGTAGGGTTGCACAGCTGATTATTGTAATTGCTGTCAGTAAGTTGTACACCTATAAAAAGTTGAACTGGCAGAAGTTGTGTGATAGATATGTTTATAACAATGACAAAAAAATAGAGTAGCTGCTGAGGCTGCTTATGTACAACCAAAAACCTCATGGAATTTGGTTCCTTGGTTTGGAGGTTCAGGGTCATGGTTTCATGGGACATCCCAGTTAATTGGCCTAATAACATGTTTAGTGCTTCAGTTCTACCTCCTAGTTCCTTGTGTAGTGCCTGGGGTCTTAAAAGTTTGCAGGCGGCCATCCAAGGCACAGCAATTGATCTCTATTTGCCTGGAGCAACAGAGAAAGAAGGAGAGTCAAGAATAGGAGGAAGATATGGAATGTGTGGCTGATTGCCTCCATGAACAACTACCTCTTTTGCCATGAGACCAGCAGAACTGGATGGTGCCCAGATACCATTACTGAACATTTTGATCATAGATTCTATAGAAGAATCCTGATGAAAATGGGGAAAATGTAGAACAGAACTTCAAATTCTCATGGACTTCACATTTCCTGGAGCCATGGTGGTAGATGAACCCCTGAAACTATTTCCCTGAGAAAATCTTTAAACCTTAAACCAAAACTATCCCCTGAAATCTTCTTAAAACCAAACAGTAATTTAGTTTTACTAGTAAAAAATGTCTGCCTTGAGCATTATGTGCTTTTAAAAACTGTCTATATGGGATCAAAGTGAGAACAGCAACTCGAAAGATTAGATAGGAACCTTAGAGGACAGTCAATTTACGTTAATGAGGGAGGAACAACTCAGAAAAGCAGGGTGAGAATGGTTGCAGAACTTGAAGAATGTAATCAGTGTTACTAAATGGTACATCTAGAAACTGTTGAATTGGTGTATATTTTGCTGTGTATATTCTCAACAATGACAATAAAATAAATAAAATTTAAAAATAACAAAAAAAGGAAAAGAAAACCCAATGGAGGATAGCTCTACGCTGACACACATGGGGTCACCATGAGTCAGAATTGAAAGCAACTGGTAATCCTTTTTTAGTTATGTGCATTAGAGTTGTTTTTTCCCAATTTCAGCTTATCTCTTAGCTGCTTATATTGTCTTTTTGCATACAGAATATTCTAGACTCTGGAAAGGAATATATCCCAGTACAAATAAATTGGTTTCTGGTTTATACAATTGTTTGTTGTGAGTGTGGTTATTGTGAGGCAGGCGTCTTTTATCCCTTCCAGCTCTTCTGGGTAGTGATGACTTGACCAGGGAAGAGCCACAGAGACTGTGTGGGTGGTCAAGACAAGAGTTATTGTTAGTTTTGTCTTTCTACCTGCAAAATGCAAGGCAGTTAAGGGAACCAAAGTACAGAGCAGAATTTGGTTGTTCACCATGAAGTCAGAACAAACAATAATACTTGGAGGGAATGCTTCCAATAGGTAGCCTATTGGGTTGTTTTTCTCTGCTGAAGGGGCATTTCTATCTTGAGAATGGATCTAGCAGTGTAAAATCAGAACAATTTTAGTCTCCTCAGTTAAATTCTAGCCATAGCTTCCTGCAATTACAACCTGATCCAGGCTGTAGACTTGGAAAACCCCTCAGGATACATCCACAGATAGATAATTTCACTTATTTCTTTGTTTTAAAGTACTAGCTTTGATTTTAGAAATTGTTGCTTTTCCTTATATGGTTTCCAAATTCTGCAAATTTACTATTTATACCTGGAGCTGACTTCTTGGCAGTGAGTTCTATGACCCCTGCAGTTTCAAGGAGTTTCTTGAGAATGTCTATGTTCCTAGTAATCCAGAATATAACATAGTTATTTATTGTGTCAAAAAGAGCAATGTACTAGGAATTTGGAGTTCTTTTCTATGTTATTACTTTTCTATAGTAATTTACTGTGTAGAGGAGCCCTGGTGGCACAGTGGTTAAAGTGCTCAGCTGCTAACCAAAATGCTGGCGATTCAAACCCAGCAGCCGCTCCACGGGAGAAAGATGTCGCAGTCTGCTTCCATAAAGATTACAGCCTTGGAAATCCTGTGGAGCAGTTCTGCTCTGCCCTATAAGGTTGCTATGAGTCGGAATCCGCTCGACGGCAACGGGTTACTGTGCAGTGTTAGATAAATCATGTTACTTCTCTGGACTGGGTTTTCTCATCTGTTATTGAATTAGATTTTTTTTAAAAAAAGCAACGCAGCCTACCCACTTTTCTTTTCAAATGAAATTTTATGTAAAATCACATATTAAACTGATAGAAGCAGAATTGCTCATCTCTCCAAGTTGCTCCAGAGGCACCTTTGCTAAGCCCTGCCTACCTTTCCAACCTCCCTACTCCCCCAAACGCCCTCATCTCTGGCCATATTGAACTATTTGGAGACTCTTGCATCATACTCCTTTCCATTTCTGGGCTTCTGTGCAGTGCCCCTTCCTCTGCCTTTAACCTGGTTTTGCCAGCTCTCTTAGCTCAAGTAGCACCTCCCTGGCCCACCTGCCCATTTATCATGCCTTCTCTTTCTGTGCCTCTATTATCACACTGAATTGTAGTTTTCTGTTTACACATCTTTCTTCCCTACTAAACCGAGGGCTTGTAGACTTTGCTTCTGGCCCCCCACCCTGTCACTTTAATGTACATCAGTAATGGAATGAACAAATAAATGAATGAATTATGCTGAGAAAGTTGAGCTAGGTCAAAATCTGGACTGGCATACCAGCAATTTTTTTAAACAGCTTTGTTAAGCTATAATTCACATACCATACAATTCACCCATTTAAATTGAATTTAATTCAATGTTTTTTAGTATATTCACAGGGTTGTGCAACCATCACCACAATCTAATTTTAAAACATTTTTTTCTTCCCTGAAAAAGAAACCCTGTAACCATTAGTAATCACTCTCCATTCCTCCCCCAGCCACCACCCTACTCCACAGCCCTAGGCAACCACTAGTCTATTTTCTCGGACCACCAAATTTTTTTTTTATTGTACTTTAGATGAAGGTTTACAGAACAAACTAGCTTCTCATTAAACAGTTACTACACATATTGTTTTATGACATTGGTTAACAACCCCACGACATGCCAGCACTCTCCCTTTCCCTACCTTGGGTTCCCTATTACCAGCTTTCCTGTCCCCTCCTGCCTTCTAATCCTTGTCCCTGGGCTGCTGTGCCCCATTAGTCTCGTTTTGTTTATGGGCCTGTCTAATCTTTGGCTGAAGGGTGAACCTCAGGAGTGACTTCATCCATTACTGAGCTAAAAGGGTGTCCGGGGGACGTACTCTCAGAGTTTCTCCAGTCACTGTCAGGCCAGTAGGTCTGGTCTTTTTTTGTGAGTTAGAATTTTGTTCTACATTTTTCTCCAGCTCTGCCCAGGACCCTCTGTTATGATCCCTGTCACAGCAGTCAGTGGTGGTAGCCGGGCACCATCTAGTTGTGCTGGACTCAGACTGGTGAAGGCCATGGTAGTTGCGGTCCATTAGTCCTTTGGACCAGTCTTCCCCTTGTGTCTTTAGTTTTCTTCATTCTCCCTTGCTCCAGATGGGGTGAGACCAGTGGAGTATCTTAGATGGCTGCTTACAGGCTTTTAAGACCCCAGTCGCTACTCACCAAAGTAGAATATAGAACATTTTCTTTATAAACTGTGTTATGCCAGTTGAGCTAGAGGTTCCCTGAGACCATGGTCCCCACAGGCCTCAGCCCATTGATTCGGACAGACCAACAAATTGAACATAGGTAAATTGGTCATTAATCCTCAAAATCTAACCCAGATGTCTGGACCATGATGTGGAATTTGGTAGGTAATTGCCCTACTTAAGCAACTTGTACTGTAGAAACTCAGATTCAGGGCCTGAAGCAGCAGCCCTAGGGACTGTTTGATCCAAAATTTATTAGAACTAGTTCTACATTAAGGAGCCCTGGTGGCGCAGTAGTTAAAGCGCTCACCGGCCAACCAAAAGGTCAGCAGTTCAAACCACCAGCCATTCGATGGAAGAAACATGTTGCAGCCTCTCCTGAAAGATTTACAGCCTTGGGAACCTTATGGGGCAGTTCTGCTCTGCCCTATAAGGTTGCTATGAGTCCGGAACCAACTCAACGGCAGTGGGTTTGGTTTGGTTTGGTTTTTAGTTCTGTGTTTAATAGGGAGGTTGAGTTTGGGCTTGCTTTTCCGTATTGCTGTTGAAGTTAACTCCCTTTGGCGATTTATATTTTGGCGGAAAACGTAACTGAAAAACTCACAACCTCTGTTAGCAATTGTGAAAAGTGCTTGGTTAAGTCTCTTCTGGAGGGGAGATTAAACCCACTGCTGTCCAGTGGATTCCGTCTCACAGCGACCCTGGAGGGGAGATTAACCTAAAAAACAATAACAGACTGTTACCGTAGATTCCAACTCAAAGTGATCCTATAGGACAGAGTAGAGCTGCGCCATAGGGTTTCCAAGGAGCGCCTGGTGGATTCGAACTGCCAACCTTTTGGTTAACAGCCATAGCTCTTAACCACTACCCACCAGGGTTTCCAATAGGGGAGATTAGCCCCTAGAAAATATCAAGGGTTAAGAATTACGTGAGAATATCATGAATTAAGAATTAGGCGAGTACTTTCCCAGCTTTTATTTTTAACAAGATTCTTCGACAGGATCACCTCTGGATGGTGCACTGCGGGTAGACACGCGGGAAACCTCAAGAATCAGAACTCGGTTCTTAAGTAAAGCCGCATTTTTCGAATTACTTCTCAGTCTACTGAGTTGCCGAGCAATAGCGTCTAGTCTCACGGTCGCCGCGTCCTAGTCGCCCGCGCAGTGACGCACCAGGCGCGCTGTGACGGAGCGCGCCGCGCGGTGCACGCTGGGATATTTAAGTCTTTTCCGCGGCGCGGAGCCGCGATGTCTCCGGCGGCTGCGGCAGCTGGAGGGGGCGACCGGCGGCGGCCGATAGCGAGTGTCAGGGACGGCCGGGGCGGGAGCTGCGGCGGCCCGGCCGGGGCGGCGCTCCTTGGACTGTCGCTGCTCGGCCTCGTGCTGTACCTGGTGCCGGCGGCGGCTGCGCTAGCCTGGCTGGCTGTGGGGGCTACTGCGGCCTGGTGGGGTCTGAGCCGCGAGCCCCGAGGTTCGCGCGCCTTTTCCTCGCTCGTTCGGAACACTCGGCGTCAGCGAACACTGTTCACTTCGCCTCCGGCAAAGTCGGCGGTAAACGGAAGCCTCCTAGAGCCGCGGACCCTGCTTAAAGGACCCGACCACGCTGAACTGCTCCTCATGGGCAGTTACCTGGGCAAGCCTGGCCCTCCGCAGCCTCCCCCTGCTCAGGACAGCAGGGACCTGCGAGAGAGCCTTGGCCGTCACCCAGCTGCCCGTCCCTCGCAGCCCGCTCACTCGGCCCATCGCGTTCACCACGTTCAGCCCTCTCCCCTTACGCCTCTTTTCCGACCTTCTAGGAGGCTTCCCCACCGGTAAGATTTTCTCCAGATCTCGTCTGTGTAGACTGGCTTTAAATTGAGGACTTGACTTAATATAGATTTTTGTTTCTTTGTTTTCATTAAGTCTAAAGTGGATTCTGTGTGATTTTTGCCCTCTTTAAACACTTAACGGTGTGTGTCAGCGGCCTCATGCCTTCCTCTAACTCTTGGAATGAGGTGTTGTAATGCCAGAGCTATTCCCTTCCCTCTCAATTCTTGAAACCGCCAGAATTTTAGTGTAGTATAGATTTAGCAGGGAAGGTTGGTGGCTCAGTGGTTAAAGCGCTCCGATGACAACTGAAAGGTCGGCGGTTTGAACCCACCAGCCGCTTTGAGGGAGGAAGGTGTGGCAGTCTGCTTCCGTAAAGATTTACAGCCTTGGAAACCCTATGGGGTAGTTCTGCTCTGCCCGGTAGGGTCTCTGTGAGTTGGAATCAACTTAACGGCAGTGGGTTTGGTTTGATTTTGGGGATTGTAGATTTAGCGGAATATTTGATAAACCACTAACATTTCTATTTAGGGTGAAAACATTTTTTTCTTTCGAGTGTAGTCTATAGTATATTTTAGTGTATTTTTGTCTTTGGACCAGTGAAAAACTACATCAGTTAGCAGAACTCGAAGAGTTGTTCCAAAGAATAAAGTTTATGATTGATAAAGATGACCAGATTAAAGAGATTTTTTTTCTTTTTCTTTTTGTTTATTGTTGTAGTTTAAGTGAAGGTTTACGTTTCAAGTTAGTTTCTCGTTCAAAAGTTTATACACACATTGTTATGTGACCCCAACTGCTCTCCCTATACTGTGACAGCACAGTCCTCCTTTCAACCCGATTTCCCATGTCCATTCAACCAGCTCCTAATCCTCTCTGCCTTCTCATCTCACCTCCAGACAGAAGCTGCCCGTTTAGTCTCATGTATCAACTTGAGCTAAGAAAGAAGCACACTTACAGAGACATTTTTATGTAGTCTCAGTAGCTGAGGTGATACAGGAGAATACAAAAATTTGGTGAAAATGTTAGATTCTTGATAAATACATTTACTTGAGAAGATGAACATTTAGGTGTGGAAACTGGTTAAAAATGTTTGGATGTATATTACTGAAGTTTTAGCATAAAAGATTGAAAAGATTCAAGAATTCTTGAAAAGTTCCTCCCTATGCACCCCAACACACACTTGTATTCCATTGTGTGGCCAAGTTTTCCAATTTCCCTTGCAAATTGTTGAAGCCCATTGTAGAGACAGCTGTTAAGCAGCTGCCACTTTCTGCCTTTAGATGGAATGGGGGAATGTTGCCATAGAAATATTGTGTTCTGTGTTAGAAAGAGATTTCAGCTCTCTGAAGAATGTCCAAACCCATGTGGTTGTTTAGCCATTTTAACTTTCTGATATTCTCTTATACTGCTTTGCTTTCATAGTGTGTCTCCCATTCTTTGCAGGGATTGTGGAACTTTACCTAATCGGTTTGTAATAACACCTCGGAGACGATATCCAATCCAGCAGGCTCAATATTCCTTCCTGGGGGTACTTCCCACGGTGTGCTGGAATGGTTACCAGAAGAAGACTGTGCTGTCTGCACGTAATTCCAAGATGGTATGCAGCCCAGTGACAGTGAGAATTGCTCCTCCTGATAGCAAATTGATTCGTTCACCAGTGTGAGTATTATTGTTGAAAGAATAGATTCCATCTTGTGTCCACTTTACTCTTCTATGGTTATTCCTCTGACAACTCTGAATGAAAAAGAGGAAATAACTGTTTATTTGAATGAGAGAAATCCCAAATTCTAGTCATTGAACCTTCTTTTATTTTTATTTTTTGCCCTTGACAGTAGCTTAAGTTGCTAAGGGTAATTTCTGTGAATGTATAAATTATACTTTGCTTGCTAGCTTGGGTTTTGATTTCCCATTACTTACATCTATGCTAAATGTGTGGTAATTAAAATATCTTGATGCTAGACTTCTGATTTTCATTGCAGACCAGAGCAGATAATCAACTCAACACTGTCCTCACCATCAGGTAATATTCCAGACCCATGTGCAAAGGAGACTGTACTGAGTGCCCTCAAGGAGAGGAAGAAAAGAACAGTGGAGGAGGAAGACGAAATATTCTCTGATGGCCAGGAAAATAAAAGAAGGTAACAGGCCCAACAGAGTACTAAACAGCTTCCCTTGTGTACGCCTGGGGATTTGTTAAAATACAGATCATTCCCAAAAAATATACAGAGACTAACTTTAGTTTATGAACCTTCATAGTCCCTTCTCTGGCTTTCATGAAAGAGACTGGTAACAAAGGCATTAATGCTATTCATTTCCTAAGGCACAGGGTAGGTAAATTTTGTAATCTACCTTTTCTATAAGTATTAGAGAGAAGCCAACAAGTATTAGCCGTATCAGCCTCCTACTTTTGATATCCGCATGTTAAATTTTACTTTTGAGAGAGAGTGCTGAAAGTCTTCCCGTCACAATCATGTGTTGTTCATTTATTTGGGTAACTACCAGTTTAAAAGTCATAATTGTGCCAAAGGAAATGCTTGCCAAAGAAAAGTGAAGACTAGAGTATGGTAGATTTATCAGTCATGAGAGTAAAATCCATTTCATTATTTGGTTTATGTGATAACTTAATGGAAGTGCAGTAAACAGTCTGTTTCCCAAGGTTAAGAGATGAGGTTGAAGTGGTAGTCAACATACAGAACTACTTATGGCTTTTCAAGGAATCAGTAAGGATTCCACACTTTTTTAAATTTAACAAATATTTATTGGGCACCCACTATGTGCCAGGGCCTGTTCTAGGTACTGTGGATAGAGCAGTGAATAAAACAAAGTCCCTACCCTCATGGGACTTTCTTGAGGGAGACAGACAACAAAAAACAATAAAATAAACATGATGATTTTATAGACTGTAAGTGTATAGGGAAGGGGTACAAACGGTATATATAACAGGGTAATGAGAAGTGGGCTTCTTTATATATGGTGGTCAAGGAACGGCTCTCTGATGAGACATCAGACTCCACACCTGAAAAATATAACCAGTGCCCCGATTACCTAGACCAGATGGTTCATATCTGACAGTTTCAAAGTTGCCAGCTTTGATACTGTAGATAACAAAATTAAGTAGGGGAAATCTTAATAAATGGGAATACATTATATAGTATAGAAAGATCTGGTAATGGTGACTAGAAATATGACTCACAGTCTGTGGCAGGTGAGCAGTTTAAGCTACTGTCAACTAGCTAAGCAGGAGTGGCAGGGGATGTGGGAATGAAGGGGAAACAACAGCTGTTCTTACAATCCAAATAGGTTTCTCATCTTCTCCAGGGAGGTAATTTTTCTTGACTCCAGTGAGCCTATAACTGAGGATTCTGTATTATCTTTCCCATAATTGGAATAAGCAGTGATCATGTGTCACCTTGCATAGATCTTAAGATTTTTCCCTAACAGACTTGCCATATTAGCCTCTGGAGCACTGTGGGAGTGTGGCTTGGTACTTAAGGATTTTTGTTGTTTATTTTTTTAATTTGTGGGTGGTGTGATGTTAAATTTGTGATTGTAACACTTCAGTGTACAGTTAGCCAATAAAGAATTGATCTACCTGAATAGTTCAAAAGGTCTTGACATATTTCATATTTTCCTTATTATCTGGACAATCTTAGATTAAATTGACCTTTCTGAATCTTAGGGATTTGAAGCAAACTTTTTCTTGTCTAGCTGAACACATGCTCCTTAGAGATATTATAAGGTCCCAGGAATATGAAAATATACTTTAAGAATAAAAAGTTATTGAGAATTTTTTTGTTTCAGGCGCCATGATAGCAGTGAAAGTGGACATTCAGCATTCGAGCCCCTGGTGGCCAATGGAGTCCCCGCTTCTTTTGTACCAAAGTAAGTGAGAGTCCATCTGGATGGGATGGATGTAGACCATCTGGAAAAAGGGTATCACCAGAATGTTGCCATGTAGATTTTCCTCTTTGCTTTTGCATTACTTTATTAGTTCAGGTTGAAATCTTTCAGATGAGGGAGGAGTGTTTTGAGTAACTTAACACAATTAACTACTAATTCCGTTGGATATTTTTATATTAATATGGGTGAAATCTGCTAAGGCTAATCACCAAGTATATAAACAAAGATGGCAAGTTTTGTGCAATAGATAAAATCCAACAATGTGAACTTTAAGATAAATGATAAGTTTCTGGAAACATGATATCAGCATATGAAATTTTATTTGTATTTGAGTTTAAAAATACATTTGAGGAGGAATTAATGGGAGGGAAAGTGGTTCAGAAATATGTGTGAAAAAACTTAGGACAGCTTATATACTTAATTTGAGTCAGCAGTATAGCACTGCCCGAAAGGTTAATGTGCTTCTATTCTGTCGTAACTCAGAGAAGAACAGAGGCCAGCAAGAGGCAGGTAAGGTGTAGTCCTGCTTTACTTCTCTGTCAGACTGTCCATGGAGTATTGTGTGTAGTGTACTGCACTGTAAGAGAGGAGTCATTCCGAGTGAAGCAACTAAGATGTTAAAGGGGTTTGAAACAGCCAGACGGGTGGTGGTGGTGGGTGAGGGTGTTCTGAAGGTATAGAAGTACTAGCCGAAGGAGAAGAACACACCTCAAGGGAAATGAAATAGCGAAGCGCATAATGGTCCCCCAAAAACTGAAGGACTGTCACATGAAAGAGGGAAGACAACTTGTTTGGTTCAGCTCCAAATAGGATCCATAGGTGAAAGTTAGAGGAAGTAAATTTTAATCAAGTATAAGAATAAACTGGTCCCTGGTTGAAATGGATCACTCTTGAGATGGTCAGTTATCTACATTTTAACAGAAGTTGGATGAGTATTCCTCAGGAAAGATGTGTAGGGAATTTCTGTTTCAGTTGGAAGCTTAGAAAAAATGGTTCCTCTTAACTTGGAAATTCTGATTTTTAAAAACAGCTTTATTGAAGTATAATTGATATACAGTAAACTGTACATGTTTAAAGTGTACACTTTGATAGGTTTTGACATGTATATACCTGTGAAACCAGCACAACACAATATAATGAACACATCACATCCATCACCTCAAAAAGTTTCCTCATGCCCCTTAGTGATCCCTCTAGTCCCATCCTGTTCTCCCCACTCCTGTCCCCAAACATCTAATGATCCATTTTCTGTCACTGTAGATTAGTATGCATTTTTTTAAAATGGAACTATGCATTTAATCTTTAAATATTTGGCTTTCCCTTACTGACTTTGTCAGATATATTTAGCTAAATTGTTAACAATAAAATTAAAAGTATATCCTCTTCCCTTCAGTTGTGTTAAGAAAGGGGCCATGACCAGATTGGATGAAGCCTTTAAAGAACGTTGCCTTTAATGACACACCTAACTCTCTTTTTCCCTTTTATTAGACCTGGGTCTCTGAAGAGAGGTTTCCATTCTCAGAGCTCAGAGGACCACTTGAATAAGAGATCCCGCACCTCTTCTATGAGCTCTTTGACCAGCACGTATGCAGTTGGCATCCCCAGCTCTAGCCGCAATGCCATTACCAGTTCCTATAGCTCTACTCGCGGTTTCTCTCAGGTACAGTAGTTTTGTGGTGTGGGAGAAATGGGTTCCCAGGGCTGAATTGGATAGACCAGAATTAATTAATTAGCAAATGTTTACTAACTAATTGCCTTCTATCTGCCAGATGCTGGGATAGTCTCTAAGCTAACAAAACCCTTGAATGATAAGTATAGACCAATAGAATAGATAGAAAGCCCAGAAACAAACTAATGTGTATATGGAAACTTGATACAAGACAGAGAGCTGTTACTGCAGATAAATGGACAAAAGATGAACAATTCAATAAATGGTATTAATTTTATTTAAAAAGTAGATGTATGAGAAACCTGTTTCCTCTAGTGATTTCCAGTTCTTTTCCCATGACTGTTGGCTCATGTCTTTTGCCCCTTTTTCTGAAGGGCTACTGATTTTTCTAATTTTCAAGAGCTTTTCATATATTGGAGAAACATATCCCAAATGAATTAAAGATTTAAATGTGAAATAGACACCATGGAGGAAACCTTAGAGGCTTCTCGTGCATTGCTGGTGGGAGTGTCAGTTGGTACAGTTCTCCAGAGGGCAGTGGGGCAGCAGTTATCGATACTAGAGATGCACATGTCCTTTGATCCAGCAAGTTTACTTTTAGGACTTTATCCTACATGTATGCTTAAAAACGTGTACAAGGATATTGATTGTAGCATTATTTTAATAGAGCAGAATCTTAGAAACAATGTAAATGTACTTTTCAGGGGACTGGTTGAATAACTAAATTACAGTATATCCATAAGGTTAAATACTGTAACTTTTTTTTTTTTGAAGTTGTCAGGGATTTCATTTTAATACTATAACTATTAAAAAGAATAAGGCAGTTTAAAAGGTACAGATGTGGGATGATCTCAAACTTATATAGAAAAGCAAGGTGTAGAACTCTATTGTATATTATCCTATTATTTGTGTTGCTGGTTTCTTTAATCTTTCGATACCCATAGAATAATTTTAGCAAGATATATTAGAGACTGGTAACAACTACTGAAATAGGAGAGAAGCTTACTTTTCACTGTATACTCTTTTTTTGTTGGAATTTGTAACAAGTGCAAGTATTTTCCTATTTTAAAGAAATTTTTAGGTATGGGTAACTGTTGAGTACAAAGCAAAATTCCTCTGCCCTGGCTCACCCAGTTTATATCCCATAGGTACCTATTATTAACGTTTTTTACTGTGTGCACCAATACAGATAATACGCAGAAGTTTGGGTTGTCTGTTTTACACAAATGGAATCATACCATGTGTACCTTTTTGCTTCTTTTCTCTTTTAGTAGTATGTCTTGCCTAGCACTCCATGTCCTGTAATCTACCTTTTTAAATTTTTTTTTTTATTACAGGGTAATGTACGGAAAAACACAAATCATAAGTGTACAGCTCTATGTAACCACTACCTAGGTCAAGTAATAATACATTTTCCACACCCAGAAGCCCTCCTCGTACCCACCCCCAATTACTGCTCTTGCCGTTCTGAATATATAGTTTTCCTGCTTTCAAACTTTATGTACATGGAAACATAGAGTATGCATTCTTTTATGTTTGGCTTCTTTCCCTCAGCATTTTGTTTGTGAGATTTAGCCATGTTGGATGCAGCAGGAGATCATTTGTTTTCATTGCTGTATACCCTTTCATTATATGAATGTACCACAATTAACTTATCCATCCTGCCATTGGACATTTGAGTTTCTGCCTTGAGGCTGTTGTGAATACTGCTGTAGACGCTTTATATAAATCTTTTGGCACACGTGTAAAGTATGCATATGTTCTGTTTAGTAGATGTTGCTGAACAATTTTTTTTAAGTGAATGATCCAATTTATACTCTTCACCAGCAGTATATGAGATTTTGTTCCTGTTTCACATCCTCACTAAATTTGGCATTGCCAGTTTCCTCAATCAGCCATTCTGGTTCATGTGGAGTAATATTTCATTGGGGTTTTATTTTGCATTTCCCTGAATAGTAATGAGGTAGAAGTATGAACTGTTTGTTGGCCTTTTGTATATCCTCTTTTATGAAGTGCCTGTTCAAGTTTCTTGGCTTTTTTCTATTAGGCTGTCTTTCTTTTTTTCGTGATTGTGTAAGTTTGTTACATACTCTAGATACAAGCCCTCTGTCAGTTACATGTGTTCCATGAACTCTTATTAAACATTATTGTCTTCCTCTTTGTGCTTACATGATGCAGCTGACGATTACTGGGTGAGAAATCACCAGAAGTTTTTCAGTATGAAAAAGTCTAAGATAAGAGCTTAGTATATTTGTAATTAGGCTAAAGAGTTAAAGAAAATATTGGTAGAATGCTTGCTCTCTGTCAGTTACTTTGCTGTTAGGTCCTTTTGAAGGATGCAGAGATAAAACAGACCATCTCTGCCATCAAGGGACTCTACCTGGTAGAAGAGACAAACGTATGGATAATTCACCTATAATAATAAATACCATAGATGTTCAAGGTGTCATAAATATCACCACAGCATATAGTTTTGGAAAATAAAATTAGTAAAGTAGATCTGAAAGTTTAATGAATGCAAGACTGAATAAGTTTATTGGCTTATCTTCACTGAAACGATTTCTTAATTTCATTGTTTCCATGGACAATATAGACTTGTATGCATCATATCACTATAGCATTAGTGATTGTAACTTTCTACTTTTTAATATATGCAAAAAGTACATCATTCCTTCTACATTTATTAGTTAGCATCTCATTACTTTTGTAGACATTTTTTTTTTTTTTCTGTTCACATAATTAGTATCAGCAACTATCATTCTTTGCAGGGGTCTTCCTTCACAAAGAAACATTGTTAATTATTTAAAAAGAGACCTAACATGCAGTGATGAATAGAGAACCACAAAATTATGTTGAAGGTCAGATGCTAAATTATCAACATGTTACTTTTTCTTTGACTTTTAGCTATGGAAGAGAAGTGGTCCCAGTTCATCACCCTTCTCTAGCCCAGCCTCATCCCGCTCTCAGACACCAGAGAGACCAGTGAAGAAAGTAAGGTAATCAGCATTCTCCCCCAGCTATTGTTTGCTGAATCGACTAATGGGAGGTCAGGAAAGGAGGGACATTTACTTGGCTCTTAGGCTTTGTACTACTCTAACTTGGAGAATCAAAATAATTAAGATCTAGGAAAAGGACAGTAAAATACCAACATGAGTTGCTCTCCTCTCTTGCCATTCTTGCAAGCTGGCTGTAGAGGCTTCTGACGCCCTTCCTCATGCTCCAGCATGAGTTATTGGGTGTAAGAGTTGAAGCCACACAGTGGACGGTAGCCTTCATGTTCTTGACTCTAGCTGACCCTCTAGGTACTTAGAGTCTGGTAGAACTCCACCTTCTTAGGGGTCATATCTATATTTAGAGCTCCCAGGAACTTGTCAGGTTATACATAAGGTTTTGAAGATTATTGTTTTGTGGTTGTTTTAATTCATAAAGGTTTTTCCATGGCTTCTATGAGCTACCTCTCTTCACATCTGTGTAGGAATTTTTGTTTGACTTCTTTTAACTCATGTTTGTTTATTGTTTTTCCTAACATACTGAGATCTGAAATCAGGGTTGTTCTAGGCCTTGGGCACTTCGTCATTAGGAGAGTCCAGGAAGTTATCAACTACTTTTATCAGGAAGTCTTTTTAAGCTTAATTCTGCCTTTTTTCCTTATAGAGAAGAGGAGCTTCATCATCATTCTAGTTCTTCAACCCCACTGATAACAGATAAGGAGTCCCAGGGAGAAAAGGGTAAGTTGATGAACAAGCAAGAGTGGTTTGTGTTGGTAAAGGTATTTATGGAACTATATAGACTAAGACCTATTCTAAAATATTTGTTGAGCAGTGCTTTAATCTAGGGCATGATAGATACAGAGAGAGAAGTTTCTGTCCTGCAGAAGTTTATAGCTCAATAAGGGAGAGTGGTAACACAGACAAATACAGTCTAACATAGGATAACTGTGAGACAGAGATAAGCTCAGTTTGAGCTATCTGTGAGTGGTCCAGGTAATTATTGTCCAGTAAGCAGTTGTAAGTGTGCCTTTGAAGCAGTTATCTGTTTTTGTCCTCTTGACTGTTAGCAGTAATCTTGCAAACACCATCTAAGAGCCCAAACCATGGAAGATAGAAACTACATCTTTTCAGAGATACCCAATGAAAACTCAGTGTTAAAAACCAGATGGATAGACAAAAGCATCCATTTTGGAAGAGAGAAGGAAGAAAATAAGTCTATATTTCTTTTCTTAGTTGCAGATACAACCACATGGAAGAAACAAACCTTGAATACCCCATCTACATCGGGCAGCTCTGGGCAGCGTAAAAGGAAGATTCAGCTGCTGCCCTGTAGGCGAGGGGACCAGCTAACCTTGGTATGGTCTCATCCGTCTGCCCCTCCCCACCCCGGCTTAGCTCTCCTAAGTCTTAACCACTGAACTTTTAGAAACCTGAGGACATACTATTCTTAGAAAGGCTGAGTACAGGTTTCTTCCAGTTTCTTTTGATTGACCTGACTTCCTTTTCTTTTTGGTAGCCTCCACCTCCCCAGCTTGGTTATTCGATAACTGCTGAAGACCTAGACTTGGAAAAGAAAACATCATTACAGTGGTTTAACAAAGTCTTGGAGGATAAGACGGGTAAGGAATGTATAGATCAACTTCACACCCCAGATAGTTTCTTTCCTTTGGTTTTAATTTTAGTTTTTTAAAAAAACGGTTACTCTGGGAAAAATCCAGGAACAGTTCCACGTTTTCTTTTGGTTTTTCTCATCTGAAAACCCATTTGGGTTTTTATTGATGCCTGGAAAACAGTGAACATTGAGGTTGAGGGAAAGCATGTCTAGATGAGTTATTCTGATACCCTGACTATCCCTGTGCCCTGATATGCCATCTGAAAAGAATCCTCAAACCCCATATATGATAGACCCCGAAAGAAAGTCACTAAGACATAACATAATCACACTTGCCAAAGACAAAGAAAGAATGATGAGAGCAGTACAAGAAAAACAAAAGTCACTTACAAAGGGGAAACAATAAGAGTAAGCTCTGATTACTCAGCAGAAACTATGCAGGCAAGAAGGCAATGGGATGACCGATATAAAACCTTAAAAGAAAAAAACTGCCAACCAATAATAATATATCCTGCAAAACTCTCTCAAACACAATAGCAAAATTAGGACATTTCCAGATAAACAGAAATTGGGAAATTCATAAAAACCAAACCAGACTGATAAGAAATATTAAAGGGAGCCCTTCAGTTAGAGAACCAACAACATCAGACAACAACTGGAGTCTAGGACAGCAACAGTCAGATACCAAACTAGGTAAAGAACTGTCAATAATAAAGCTAAAAGACATAAAACGGAAACAGAGACGTCAGTGTGTAAATGACAACAATGTAAAACAGTAAAAGGGGAAATAAACAGTGTAGGTATAGAACTTACAAATGGAGAGGAAGTCAAGGGGATATCAAGTAATAAAAGACTGGTTCAAATTTAGGAAGATAAGGGTAAATTTCAGTGTAACCACAAAGAAAGTTAACATAATCTGCTCATCAAACTAAAAAAGAAAACCATAAAGTCTCAGTAAACACAAAATCTATAATAACAAAAGAAAAGCCACAAACAAAAGGAACTTAACACAGGAAAGTAAGAGGAACAAAGAAAACATCAGCACCACAAAAAAAACACAACAATATGACAGCAGTAAACTCACACCTACTGATAATCGCACTAAATGTTAATGGCTTAAGTACGCTTGTAAAGAGAGTGGCGGAATGGATAAAAAAGCACAACCCATCAATTTTCTGTCTACAAGAGACACACCTTAAGACACAAAGACATAAACATATTAAAAATCGAAGGATGGAAAAAATATATCAAGCAAACAGTAACCAAAAGAGAGCAAGAATGGCAGTACTAATCTCAGATAAAATAGACTTTAAGGAAAAGTCCACCATAAAAGATAAGGACATTATATAATGATGAAAGGGACAATCCACCAAGAAGATACTACCTTAATAAATATCTACCCATCAATGACAGGGGTCCAAAATACATAAACTAACAGCAGTGGAAACAGAAATAGACGGTTCCAAAATAATAGTAGGGAGACTTCAACAGACCACTCTCGGTAAAGGACGGAACATCTAGAGAGAAACTCGACAAAGATAAAGAAGATCTAAAGGCCGCAATTAACTAACTTGACCTCATAGACATACATAGAACACTCCACGCATCAGCGGCAAAGTATACATTCCTTTCCAATGCACATGGAACATTCTCCAGAATAGACTACATTTTAGGCAACAAAGCAACCCTCAATAAAATCCAAAACATCAAAATATAGTATAAAGCATTCTCTCTGATCACAGCACAATAAAAGTAAAAATAACAGGAAGAGCAAGAGAAAAAAATCAAATACATGGAAACTGAATAACACCTTGCGTAAAAACAGCTGGTTAATAGAAGAAATCAAAGAGGGAATAAAAAATTCCTAGAATCAAATGAGAATAAAAACACATACCAGAACCTTTGGGACACAGGAAAGGCAGTGCTCAGAGGTCAGTTTATAGCAATAAACACATCAAAAAAGAAGAAAGAGCCAAAATCAAAACATTAGCCCTAAAACCCGAACAAATAGAGAACAGCAAAAGAAGCCCACAACCACCAGACGAAAGGGAATAACAAAGATTAGAGCAGAAATAAATAGAGAACAGAAAAACAATAGAAACAATCAACAAGACCAAAAGTTGGTTCTTTGAAGAGATCAACAAGGTCAACAAACCATTGGTCAAACTGACAAAAGCAGGAGAGGAAGCAAATAACCCAAATAAGAAATGAGATGGGGGTCATGACAAACAGACACAACTGAAATAAAAAGGATCATAACAATACTAGAAAAATTGTACTCCAACAAATTTGAGAAACTAGAGGAAATGGACAAATGTCTAGAAACACACTACCTACATAAATTAACACAAGCAGAGATAGGAAATCTGAACAGACCCATAGCAAGAGATTGAAGGGATAATAAAAAAAAAACTTCCAACAAAAATAAGTCTTGGCCTGGATGGCTTCACTGGAGAATCAGACATTCTGAGAAGAGCTCACACCACGACTACTAAAACTATTTCAGATCATAGAGGAGGAATACTCCTGAATTCATTGTATGAAGCTAGCATAACCCTGATACCAAAGACAGGCAGAGACACCACAAAAAAGGAAAATTACAGATCAGTATCATTCATGAATATAGATGTAAAAATTCTCAACAAAATTCTAGTCAGTAGAATTAAGTATCATATCAAAAAAATAATACAAAACCACAAGCAAGTAGGATTCATGCCAGGTATGCAAGGATGGTTCAGCATTAGAAAATCAATCAACGTAATCTACCACCTAACTAGAACAAAAGAAAAGAACCACATGATCATCTCAATCAGTGCAGAAAAGGCATTTGATAAAGTCCAACACCCATTCCTGATAGAAACTCTCAGCAAAGTAGGGATAGAAAGGAAATTCCTCAACGTGATAAAGGGCATCTATACAAAACCAATAGCCAACGTCATTCTCAATGGAGGCTGAAAGCATTCCCCTGAGGAGAGGAACAAGACAAGGATGCCCTTTGTCACGACTCCTGTTTCACATTGTGCTGGAAGCCCTAGCTAGAGCAATAAGGCAAGAAAGAAAGGGTGTCCAAGTTGAAAAGAAGTAAAACTATCACTATTCACAGATGATGCGACCCTGTGCATAGAGAACCCCAAAGATGCCCACAGGAAAACTACTGGAACTAACAGATTCAGCAGAGTAGCAGAACACAAGATCAGCATACAGAAATCACTTGGATTCTTGTACATCAACAAAGAGAACTTCAAAAAGGAAATCAGGAAAATAATACCATTTATAATAGCTCCTAAAAAGATAAAGTACTTAGGAATAAATACAGCCAGAGACATAAAATATGTATACAAAGAAAACTACAAAACACTATTACAGAAAACCGGAAGAGACCTACATAAATGGAAAAAACACCATGCTCATAGATAGTGTCTTAGTGTAAAAACAGCATGGGGGAAGTGTCTGATCTCCTCTGTCTTCCCAAGGGGGAAGGAGAATCAAGATCAGCAGTCCAAGGCTGATTCCTATGAGGTGGAGGTCAGACATTGTTCCTCTCTGCCGTCTTTAGCAGTTCTGGCACGAACTGTCCCTCCCATGGCACTCTACTTCTCTGCTGCAGAGTTTGATAATTCATTGCAGTGGCCACACAGAACTCACAGATGATAATCATGATTAAGGGGTTTATTAGAGAAGTAACAGGTTACAGTTCAGGCTCAGGAACACTCAGGATACAGCTCTTCCATCAGGACAGCCTCTTTTCACCTGTGCTCGCAGGCATATCTCTTTCTGGCCCTAGGCCTCTGCCCTACTCAGGGAAGTGTTACAAAGCTCTTTTAGCCCCTGCCAGTAAATCTCCAGAGGCACGCCAGGCACTCGGCTTTCTCACTCTGTGGGCGGGGAAGCCCACCACTCCATCTCCTGCTGCCATGTCTCTGCTGCAGCTTCTCACTGCCTTCAGTGTTACAGAGCTCTCTCTGTCTCCTAGTTCCAGGAGTTTCTCAGCACAGGAATCGTGGGTCCAAAGGATGTGCTTGCTCCTGGCTATTCTTCCTTGGTGGTGATGGGATCCTCTCCCTCGTGCCTCTCAGATGGCTCACCTCAAGCCCAGAGTATGGCAGAACTGACCAGTCCCCTTGTTAGGCTACAATTATCCTATCTGCACAGTCCTACCCAATCACTTGGGTGGGAGTTACAAGACCATGGCAAGAAAGGCCACACAAAAGCGACCCATCGCACTGCATTTAGTAATCTAGTGCTGCTATAACAGAAATACCTCAAGTGGGTGGCTTTAACTACAGAAATTTATTTTCTCACAACCTAGGAAGCTAGAAGTCAAAACTCAGGGCCCCAGCCCCAGGGGAAGGCTTTCTCTTTCTGTTGACTCCAGGTGAAGGTCCTTGGCATCAGTCTTCCCATGGTCTAAGACCTCAGCTCAGGGACACCAGGTCCAAAGGGCACACTCCAGTCCTGGTTCTTTATTCTTGGTAGTAGGAAGTCCTTCTCTGCTCACATCTCTCTTTTATATCTCAAAAGAGATTGACTGAAGATACAACCTAATCCTGTAGATCAAGTCTGGCCTCATTAGCGTAACTGCCTCTAATCCAAACTCGTTAACATCATAGAGGTTAGGTAAAACACATAGGAAAATTAGATCACAAAATGGAGGACAACCACATAATACTGGGAATCATGGCCTAGCCAGGTTGACACACAGTTTTGGGGGACACAGTTCAATCCATAACAGATAGGAGCACTCAGCGCTGTGAAAATGTCAGTTCTACCCAAAGCAATCAACAGATATACCAACAGCATTCTTTAACAAGATGGAAAAACTAATCACTATAAAGAAAGGAAAGAGGCCCAAGATAAGCAAAGCATTATTGAAGAAAAAGAACGAAGTAGGAGGCCTCACACTACCTGATCTCAGAACCTGCTATATAGCTACAGTAGTCAAAACAGCCTGGTACTGGTAAAACTACAGACACGCAGACCAGTGGAACAGAATCGAGAACCCAGATGTAAATCCATCTATCTTTGGTCAGCTGATCTTCAACAAAGGACCAAAGTCCATTAAATGGGCGAAGGACAGTCTTTTTAACAAATGGTGCTGACAGAACTGAATGTCCATCTGTAAAAAAAAATGAAGCAGGACCCAACCCTCACAACATACACGAAAACTAACTCAAAATGGATTAAAGACCTAAATATAAAACCTAAAATGATAAAAATCATGGAATAAAAAATAGGGACAACACTAGGAGCCCTAATACATGGCATAAAGAGAATACAAACCGTAACTAACAGTACAAACCCCAGAAGATAAAACTAGACAACTGGGAGCTCCTAAAAATTAAACACGTATGCTCATCAAAAAACTTCACCGAAACAGTAGAAAGAGAACCTACAGACTAGGAAAAAGTTGTTGACTATAACATACCCAACAAGGGTTTAATCTCTAAATCTGTAAAATAAATCATGTCAACAACAAACATGTAATTAAAAAATGGACAAAGGAGATGAACAGACACGTTACCAAAGAAGACATTCAGGCCCCTAAAATCACATGAGGAAATGCTCGGGATCTCTAGCCGTTGGAGAAATGCAAATCAAAACCACAGTGAGATACCGTCTCACCCAGACGTCACTGGCACTAATCGAAAAACAGAAAACAAATGTTGAAGAGGTTGTAGGGAGATTGAAACTCTTATGCACTGCTGGTGGGACTGTAAAATGGTACAACCACTTTGGAAAATGATATGGCGCTTCCTTAAAAAGCCAGAAATAGAAATACTGTACAATCCAGCAATCCCACTCCTAGGAATATATCCTACAGAAATAAGAGCCGTCACACGAATAGACATATGCACACCCATGTTCACTGCAGCATTGTTCACAATAGCAAAAAGATAGAAACAACCTAAGTGCCCATTAACAGATAAATGGATAAACAAATTATAGTATATACGTACAATGGAATATTACACAAAGATAACAGTGATGAATCCAAGAAGCATCTCACAACATGGATATATCTGGAGGCATTATGCTAAGTGAAATAAGTCAATCACTAAAAGACAAATACTGTATGAGACCACTATTATAAAAACTCAAGAAAAGGTTTACGCACAGAAAAGAACGATCTTTGATGGTTACAAGGGAGACTAGGGTTGGAAAGGGGAACTCAATAACTAGATGGTAGACAAGTGTTACCTTTGGTGAAGGGAAAGACAACACACAGTATAGGAGAAGTCAGCACAGCTTGACCAAGGCAAAATCATAGAAGCTTCCTAGATACATCCAGACACCTTGAGGGACCGAACTACTGGGGCTAAGGGCTGGGGACCGTAATCTCGGGACATCTAAGTCAACTGGCATAACATAGTTCACTCAGAAAATGTTCTACATCCTACTTTGGTGGGTAGTGTCTGGGGTCTTAAAAGCTTGTGAGTGGCCATCTAAGATACATCTATTGGTCCCATCATGTTTGGAGCAAAGGAGAATTAAGAAAGCCAAAGACACAAGGAAAATATTCATCCAAATGACTGATGGACCAAGTGAATCACAGCTTCCAGCAGCCTGAGACCAGAAGAATTAGATGGTGCCTGGCTACCACCACCGACTCCTCTGACAGGGATCACAATAGAAGGTCCCAGACAGAGCAGGAGAAAAATGTAGAACAAAATTCAAAAAGAGACCACACTTACTGCTCTGACACAGACTGGAGGAACCCCTGAAACTGTGGTCCCCGGACACCCTGCTAACTCAAAACTGAAGCCACTTCCAAAGTCCACCCTCAGCCAAAGATTAGACAGACCTGTAAAACAACAACACGTGAGGAATATGCTTCTTAGATCAGTCAAGTATACGAGACCAAATGGGTAACATCTGCCCAAAAGCAAAGACAAGAAGGCAGAAAGGGACAGGAAAACTAGACGTATGGACACAGAGAACTCAGGGTGGAAGGGGAGCAGGGACGAGTGCTGACACATCGTGGGGATTGCATCCACTTTCACAAAACAATTTGTATATAAATTTTTGAATGAGAAACTAATTTGCGCCCTAAACTTTCACTAAAACACAATAAAATTTTTTAAAAAAAGAATCTCTAAACAAGGGCGGAGAGTTTAATCTTTTCATTCTTCCGTAGATGCTGCCTCAAACTCTGTCACTGAGAACGCACCTGCCCCTCAGCCTTCTTTACCTGTCGCCCTGCCTGCTGCTGCGACTGCTTCCTCGCCGCCCCCCATCCCAGCCCCAGGCACTAACCCACGGCTAGAGAGCCTGAAGGAGATGCAGGATGCCCCAGGCCCACCGTCCTTTCCAGGTGAGTGGGTGAGGTTCCCTTTGAAGCGTGGGATGATAGCGACGTTTGTCTAGGTTGAAGTAAAAGCATTATGCCTATGAGTCGCTGGAAATAGTTCTGAAGGTTGAACCTACCCTGGCTTACCAAACCTGAGCTGGGCAAGCTTAAAAATCTTAGAATTCTCTAGTCAGGAAATTTTAGGGAAGGTGGAATGTGACACGCAAAGCTAGAAAAATGCAGCTTAGTTTTGGTGGTCAAATGGCTCTTGATTTGAAACCTAATCCCTTGGTTGCTGAGCCTGAGCCTTGCTGTCCTCACCTGTTAAGTGAGAATCATGCTTTTCCAGTGAGATTTCTGTGAAATGTAGATGTGCTAACAAGATTAAGATGTCTTGTTGTATGGTTATGAGACTACAGGCACAGAACAACACTGATTTTCTCGGTGGGTTTCTAAGGGTGTGTTGGCTGTTCCAGCTGTGTGCCCCCACATACACCTCTGTCAGCAAACCTTGTCACGTAGTGGTGTGGGGTACGTGTCAGCCCCTCCTCGCGCAGAAATGATCTCATTCGTGGGTGTGTATTAGCTCGTGGCAGGTGAACATAGTAAATCTTCATTAGATGAGTAAGGTGTATCTAGAGAAGTGACTGGATGTAAGAGTTCAGGTGATGGAATTTTCCTCAGGTTTCATACAGTTAACCCATGATTAGGCCAGCTTTTATCCTTTCTTTCTTACGATCTGTGAAGAGCGGAAATGTTATTTTGATTTGCTTTAAGGGCCAGTGTCATAGATTTAGTCATACTTGTTGACTAACCCTTGGGTCCCTAGCACTGTGCTAGGCATGGAGAGGATATAAAAATACTGAATACCATCAGGTTTCAAGTACTCAGAATTCTCAGTAAATCCCTCTTTTTTGCAGAATCTGCTGGAGTGGCAACCACTGTGGCCCATTTGCCTCTAAAGACACCCAGTCTTCTGACCCATCTTGGGGCTTCACAGTCAGGAACCGCTTCAGACTCAAAATCCACAGCCACTTTCCCAGAGCTGATCCCTTATTCCACAGTACCAGTCGCTGACATCATTAAGTCACCTCCGACCCTCCAGGCTGAGACATCTGCCAAATCTCAAGCCCCATCTGCCCCATCCTCCACTCCCAAGCCCAGTATTCTGTTTGGAATGCTGAGCTCCCCAACTTCTAACCCTTCTGCAGCTTCTGATGTGTCTTCAGAATCTCCCATGTTCAAGCCCATTTTTGGAGCCCCACCTAAAAGCGAGAGTGAAGGCCCCTTGCCTGCTAATCCTTCAGTCACAACTGCAGCATCTTCCAGCTCGGCCCTCCCTGTGATTCCTAGTACCTCAACCCCCACTTTCAAGCCTGTCTTTGGCAGCATGGGGTCACCAATGTCTGTACCCTTGTCAACTCCTTTCTCCTTCAAGCAAACAACTACTCCGACCACAACCACAACCGCTCCTCTCTTCACTGGCCTGTCCAGTGCCACCTCTGCAGTGGCTTCCATCACCACAGCCAGTACGTCCACAGACTCGGCCTCGAAGCCTGCTTTCGGCTTTGGTGTAAACAGTGTGACTAGCACCATGAGCAGCGTGGCTAATACCACTTCCACTTCCCAGCCTTTCCTCTTCGGGGCCCCCCCTGCCTCTGGTGCCAGCTTTACCCCAGCCCTGGGCTCCATGTTCCAGTTTGGCAAGCCTCCTGCCATGGCTCCTTCAGCAACAGTCAGCACCTTTGGCCCATCCCTTCCCGGTGCTGTTCAGACAGCCCCTAGCAGCAGTACCACCAGCTTTAGTGGTTTCGGCAGCGCCCTTACAGCCTCAGCCCCAGTTACCAGCAGCCAGCCTACGATCACGTTCAGTAGCACCACCACCCCAGCATTCAACATTCCCTTTGGTTCAAGCACCAAGCCCCCTCCCCCATCATATCCAGGAGCTAACCCCCAGCCCACATTCGGGGCCACTGGTGTGCAGCAGCCGGGACCCACCAAGCCAGCCCCTGGCCCAAGCTTTGGCAGCTCTTTCGCTTTTGGAAACTCTGCATCCCCGGTGCCGGCCCCCACTGGGCCAGCCGCTGGCAGCACCAGAAAAGCGGCTCAAAGCAGCGTGACAGCCCTGACCACCACCTTTGGCACCCCTGCCAGTGCCCAGCCAGCCTTTGGCAGCAGCACAGCTATCTTCTCCTTCGGGGCAGCTGCCACCACCGGCTTTGGGGCTGCAACCCAGACCAGCAGTGGGACCAGTAGCTTGGTGTTTGCCGGCACCACACAGTTGCCCTTCACGTTTGGGGGATCAGCAGCACCAACTGGCAGTGGGGGCTTGGGGATCAGTGTGGCTACCCCAGGCACCAGCTCCACCTCTGGAGCATTCAGCTTTGGAGTGGGACAGAGTGGGACCACTGGCACCACAGCCCCTTTTGGGGGAGGCTTGAGTCAGAACACCTTGGGCACACCCAGCCAGAGCACGCCCTTTGCCTTCAGTGTGGCCAGCACACCTGAGAGCAAACCTGTGTTTGGAGGTGAGTTTGGGAATGGATTTGGGCTGGTGTGTCGCACTGTTTTAAGTGCTGGCACAGTGTATTACTCTTGTGGGGCTTACATTATAGTTGTGGGGAGGCAAACATTGAATGTAAAAGCAAAGTGTCAGGTGGTGATAAAATATTTTGGTAAAAGAGGTAAGTAATGACCGTGGAGGAGCTATTAAGGATTTAAGTGGTCAAGGATAGGCTTTTCTGAGGCAGTAACCACTTTTATGCTGAAACTGTATTTGTGACAAGGGGCTGGGAGTATTGGGGGAGGAAGGGGGTCGTGCTGAGAGCGAGTATTGTCGGTACGGGATAGTGCGAGAGCGCAAAGGCAGAGAAACAAGCTTGGAATGTTCATAAACAGAAAAGGTAAGTGTGGCGCTGGAGGTTTAAAGATGGGGGAAGTGGTATAAAATGATGAGAGGCAGGCAGAGTTGAAGATCATTCATGGGCAGGGTTAAGTGTTTGAATATTAAGTATTAAGGGAAATCACTGTAGGATTTCAAGCAGAAGAAGAATGTGCTCTTCACCATGTGGAAGATGACCTATAAGGAGTTTTGACCCTGACAATTTCTACTTTCTTTGCTGGTATGAGGGAAGATCTTGGGGAGTGGTTTAGGCTGAAATGTATAAAAGGAGGACCTCTTGAGAGAGTCATTTTGAAGAGTGGGAAAAGGGACATATTAAGAAAGTGTCGTGGAATTGCCAGGCAGTTTTGAGGCCTAGAAAATTGTGATTATGGATTTGAAGTTAAGCTCATCGGCACGGTTATGTGTTTTTCCCCAGGTATGTTCATTTGTTGAGGTGTAGACCTAAGAAGTGCATAGCTGGTAAACGCCAACCTGTTTAAACTCAGACAAGTATAGCAGGAGGGAACGGTGGGCTGGAGGCCTTGATGAGGTTGAAGAAATGCAGGAGTGGGAGCACTTGACAAAAATGACCATGGGGGAGGGTGGCACAGGTGGGTAGAGGGAAGAATGACCATGGGGGAGGTTGGCACTGGTGGGGTAGAGGGAAATCTCTTCGGTGCATTGAGGTCAGGGGACCAAGCGGGTAAGTCGTCCTCACAGATGTTGAAGTCACCAAGCGTGGTGATGGGGTGGAGAAATGAGAGTGACACAGCTGTTGATAGATGACATTAATAAGGAAAAGGAGCTGAGTATAATAAAGTCAGCTAGTCTGAACTATGAAGGGCTGAGGTATTTAAAAGAGGAGGGAAGAGAAATGGTTTGGAAGCAGTATCAGGGAGCAGCCTGCCCTTGAGAACGGACTGGAGGAGAAGCAGTATCAGCACACAGCCAGCATTCAGTTACAGGGTGGGGAGGGAGCTGGCCAGTGACTGGGTTCCAAGGGTACCATGGGAAGATGAGGGGACCAATGGAGTGGTGTGGTGGTGAGAATTTGGGGGAAGCCTCAGGCTTCTAGATGAGAGGGAACAGGTAAACAGGAAGAAGCAGTCTAATGAAATTAGTCCTGATGGAAGAAGGTAGGTAACTTGGTCAAGCTGCAAAGTGGGGGTCTACAGGATGTTCCCCTCCGCAGCACCCAGTGTACGGCGGCCAGGGAATGCATAGTTGCCTGCTCCTCGGGTGGCCAGGAGAAGGCGGCACTGTGGGCTTTTTCTCTGCTGCAGCCCAGCAGTGAGCAGTCTCGCCTGGAGACCAGGCTTAATTATCTCATGCAGCTTCTCATGGTGGAGTGAACAGGAACAGCGTGCAGGGCTCAGGTATCCTTATGACCAGGGAAATGGCTCTGTGGAGCACAAGTCTCCACCTAAAATTCTTTGCTGTCTGCTTTGATGCCTATGCTTACTGGCCTGCTCTCTACAGCTGTCTGCTGTCTCTCATTCTAGGCACTTCCACACCCACCTTTGGTCAGAACCTGCCCGCGCCTGGAGTGGGCACATCAGGCAGCAGCCTCTCATTTGGGGGGTCTTCAGCACCCGCCCAAGGCTTTGTTGGAGTCGGACCTTTCGGTAAGCATCAAGTCCCTCAGAGGAGGGATTGAGGTAGCAGGTCCCTGGCTCTGCAGCCCTATGGAGAAGAGCAGGCTGCTAAGCAGGGGAGATGTGGTCAGGTGGGAGTTGTGCACAACCCAGGTATGAAGTTGGACAGCAGAGATCAGAGAGAGAGGAGCCATCTTGGGTAGAAGTTCCCAGACCACTAGGGAAGCCAGGTAAAAGTGGGTTCCTGGTCCTCTCAACTCCCCAACTGTCTGGTATGTGATTCTGGGATTTTGCATTTTAAATAGCTCCTCCCTCCTCCCCAAAAGAAGTGATTCTGATGCAGCTTGAGAATCCCTCTTCAAGCACCTAGTGTTTGTTCTGTTGTTTGCCTGACTGCAAAGCTTGGGGCACCCAGAGAAATGTTCTCAGGTAGCAGCTGTCCTGATGAGACATTGTTGAATCTTTCCAGGCTCAGCGGCTCCTTCATTTTCCATTGGTGCGGGATCCAAGACCCCGGGGGCGCGACAGCGACTGCAGGCCCGAAGGCAGCACACCCGCAAGAAATAGCCTTTGACCCTTGTCCCCATTCCCCACCCCTGCCCAAATCTGAACTTCTGCACCTGCTGGAAAGAGCCTCTGCCCCTTTTAGTCCCAAAAAGTAAACCTACCCCAGATCTCTGGCTTCCACCACCAAGAAGGTGTAGTGGCAACTTTGGGGGCCCTTTCCCTCCTTGAGGAAGCACAGGCCTCTGGCCTCCTGAGGGAGCGGGGAACCAGGGTGTAGCAGAGCAGATGCCAACACCTCTGCTTGAACAGTTCTATCAGTGAGGCTAGAGAACTAAAGAAACACCTGTACATATTGTCCATTCCTTCCCTGACTCATTTAGTGCATATATCAGACGGCCTCCCTGCCTGCTTTCTCCCTGAGAGCCATCTTTGTTAGAGGGTAGAAGGTACAGCCCTTGCCCACTTGCATCTCTGTGGGTATGCATTTGATGGGGTTGGGGAAGCGGATGATCCCTGAAGCTTTACCTTGCTTGGCTTGGCTGTAAGCAGTTCTCTTCCTCTGGTCCCTCTAGGGGACTTTGTTTCCCCGTATCTTGCTGCTTTGTCCCTCACCAGTTCCTTGCAGGATCAATCCCTTTTAAAAAGATCTTGAACCTAGCTTTGCCTTGGAGATCTCAGTGGGTGCTGCTCCTGCTCTTCCACTTCCTCCTACCGAGCCCTCTCTGCCAGTTTGGCCCCTAAAAGCTTAGTGGCTCAAGACTGTTAGCCTGGCAGACCCAGAGGTGATGAGCCCCTCCCTCCAGGAGAGGGAAGCTCTCAGATCAGCTTTCCTCTGGCCGTGGGGCAGGCAGGATGCCCACTGCTGCTTTCAGTTACCTCCTCCCCTTCGTGTGTTTGCCTCACTGGGCCCTCACTGCCCTGGGGTTGTACGTTTAAAGCCTCGTCTTGTGTTACTGTCCGATACTCATGTCTGTTGCTCTTTGAATCGAGTTTGGAGGAAGAACTGAATTGTGTGAGTGGCGGCATGTTGGTAGTGCCGGACTTAACTGTGTCAAGTTTTCTGGGGCCTAGCTAATTGAATGTGGAAAGTAGCACCACTACAGCTGCAAGTGCTGACTCTGAATTTTCAAATGGTGTTTTAAGTGCTGGCAGCCCAGGAGGATGGGGCCCAGGGAAGACCTCTTCCCTGTTATTTCCCTCCCACTTACTTGACCTCGTTTAGGCTAGATACCCCAAGTATGTTAGGAACCTAAATTAATGAACCATACTTTAAAATTATACCTTAGCTATTTTTTCCAAATAGGGCCCTCTCCAGCCCTACTCCTTCCCCTTTTCTTGCTGTGTTCCAGAAACCACATACCCTAGGCCCCAGAGCCTTGCTGCCATGCCCACCCTCTTTGGAAGTATGAATGCGTGTGTCTAAATTAAAAGAAAAAAATATTTAAACATTTTTTAACAAAATAAAAATTTATTTTTGTATTTAAAGCTAAATTGCCTTTTAAATTCCTTCAAGCTTGGTTCATTGAGGTGGTTAAGTATAAAAGCTATTGACTAGGAATTAGCTACATAGTTACGCCTGAGTGAAGAGGCTCACATGTGGTCCCAGGCAGCTTTCCTAAGGGACTAGAGCTCCTTCTGGACACATTCTATAAACTGTAATTCTTAGTTTATAAATAATGTGATGTAGATGTAACTGGCTCCCCCTACCCCACTTCATGACTGAGGTTGAATGTTTTGTGGCAGGGACTGCTCCCCCACCCCCAAGAACAACTCTCAAGTCCAGTATATGTGTGTGTGAGTGGAGCTGAGGAGGAAGTCTCAACCTCAAGTCCCAAATACCTGTTACGATTGGAGCGGGGGGGGGTCACAGGTATAGAAATCAAGTGTCTACCTATACCTTATGTAAGGCGGAGCCTCTTTTAGTTGTAGTTCTCTCAGCTAGTGTTACCTCAGTTCCACAGGCAGGACAGCTAGTCCAGGAACCCCGAGGGGGCACCCTGGTGTGGCCTGAGTGTGCTTGTGTACATGTACGTGCACTGGACAGGACCGGGAGGCTGGGACTTTCCATTACCAATAAGGACTTAATTCCTGTTGAGTCTAGTTGTAATTTTTAGGACAAATGTGTGATTTTTCTCCTTGCTTATATCATTAAGAATAAAAAAACTGTGATCTCTCATAGACCATGTTCTGCCTTTTATTTTTGTGGGCAGCACTTCTGCTCTCACCAAGAGAACCCAAACCAATGCAGGGACCCAGAGAACTAGGAAACTCACTCCGCCTTTCCAGCTGCAGAAACAGGGATAATCTTCCAAACAAAACTGCTGCCTGGGTCTGAGGGCCCAAAGTCAGACCCTTGAGCACCTGCTACGTGCCAGGCAGTGTGCTAGCACCAGCCACCAGTTTTCGCCGCTTCTTCTTTCTCTTTGGGGTTGGGCTGGCTGTAAGTTCTGGCCCCGGTGCTTCGGTGTGAGAGGCTGAACTAGAAGAAAAGTACAAGTGTTAGATGTGCCACGGACCCGTAGCGTCTGCCAAGCAGGACCCCTACTTACTCACCTTGACACCTCTTTCCGTTCAAGGACAGCAATGAAGAAGCCACCAGTGAGTGTGGTCTCAGGGGAGGCCCGGAGGCAGTATTCAGCACCTGGAAAAGTGCCAAGGCCTCGGTGGGGCCAGGAGGGTAGAACAGGCACTAGCCTGGAAAGGAGAAATAGCAGACTTACAGGTAGAAGAGCACTTCCTCCTCCCCAACACCCTGGCGGACGTTCATCCTCCTCCCCAATACCCTGGCGGACATTCATTACCTGAAGGTCCCTGCACTGTTCTGCAGAGCATTTCGTACCACGTCTTCATTCTCTTCTTGGCAAAGGGAACACGTGGAGTAGACGAGGCGCTGCAAGGAGGAGAAAGTGAGCGCATGGCACAGAGCTCGCTGCTGGAAACCTGCCAGGGCATGTAAGCGCTTCTTGCTAGGTGCACATGCCCCAGGCTCTTCCAGCTGTCGGGTCAACATACCTAAGGAAAAGAGAGTTTCAGTTACATAGCTTCACAGACTGCCTTATTACATACTGAAATCTCCATTTTATAAGTGAGAATGTTTGCCCAGGGTCACCACTAAAGAGTCAGACCAAACCTAAGACCAAAACAAACTACTACCCCATCAGCACTAGGCTCCTCTGGATCTGAGTCCCTCAGCCATGCTTTCTTACCAGAGCCACTACAAGAAGGATCCAGCAGGATGTACTGGACCTGACGGTAACGCTGGTCTGAGGGTGAGACTGCCAAGAAGTCTTTCTCAGCTAACTCGCAGCAAGAGACTCCAGCCCGGGCCAGTAGAGTAGCCATAGATGCCAGCCGCTTGGCATCCAAGTCAAAGGCAAAGATCTTCCTAGGGAAAAGGTCAGAGCTGAGGTGAGCTGAAAATTTACAGAGCGTCTAAGGGCCACAGTTGAGGGAGATTGATGACTTTCCATCCTCAGAGAAGAGAAAAAGCTGATTCACAGGCAGTTTCAGTAACACACATGCCTTCAGTAGGCTTATCCACCATTCTGAACTACACACAAAGTGTACATTAAGTCAGGACACATGGGAAGTATTTAAACGGCCTAGAGGGGTCAGCAGTCAGGGGTGACTGGCCTGGGACTCAGCCCCGTGGGTTAGGGGATCCATATCTCACACCAGTAGCCTACCAGAAAGCTTACCTTGGGGCTATACCACAAACTTTCCAGGTCCAGAAGAAAATATTTAAAGATCCTCCTTTCCATCTTCATGACCTGTTCCTTCTTTCTCCTTACAAAGTACAGCTTCGGGGCCCATCCCCTCCCTCTCTGCCACCTGCAGCACTCACCCTTGGTTCTTGAGAAGAGCAGCTACGTGACTGGTCTTGTTGCCTGGAGCAGCACATGCGTCAATGACATGGGAGCCTGGCGGCGGAGCCAGCAGCATGGCTGGGAGACAGCTGGCCTGTCCAGGAAGAGCACAGCAACTAGTGAGGCCAGACCCCAGGCCTGTCACTCCCATGTCTTCCCTTTTCTGTCATCTTCCGTACCTTGTCTTGTAGAATGAGGTGACCGGCTTGGTACAGCGGATGTTCATGCAGATCTGTTTGTGCAGGGAACACAAGTAGCTCTGGCAACAAGGGATCCAGAAGAAAATGCTTCCCCTTGAGGGTCCTTAAGTCCTCAAGGCTGCCAGGGAGGAGGTTAGAACCAGGAAATAAGAACCATTAACTTGACATCTCCTGAATTCTTCCATGCTAGACTACACAATTTACATGTTGTTCCACTTTAACTGTTCATTCATGCAACAAATACTTAAAACTGCTTTGAAGAAATAAACAGGGTGATAAAAGAGAGGCAGCATGGTCAGTCAGAGTGTCAGTATAGTAGGGAGTGGGTTCTCAAGCCAGATAGGCTGGGCTCAGGATCCCACCTCTGCTAGTAGCAGCAGGAGCTTGGCTGGATAAGCCTCAGTCTGCACTTCTGTTTAAAATGTCAGTTGTGAGGATTAAATGAGTTACCACAGGCCAAACACTTAGAAAACTATTTGGCACAAATAAGCACTCAACAAACGCTGTCATTACTATCAAATCATAACCGGGGTGGGGGTGGGGGGCATTAAGTGAGGAGGGGAGTCTAGGGGAAGTAAGATCTGAGCAGATTCCTGATGGACAGGGAGTTATGTGAGGAGCTGAGGGTAAAACTATATTCACTATAACTTTGCAAGGAAGTATTGTCCACTCACCCTGACTGCTGGACACACAGGCGTCAGAAAGCTATCAAGTGCCACAGCGTGAATTCTAATCCAAACAAAGCCATTCTCTACTATACCACCCTTGTGTCCAACCAAGATACTAAGAAGCAGAAGGAGGAGCATTTCAAACAGACTGGAGGAAGGGGAGCAGAGGCAGCTTCTCAGAGCTGCCAAAGGACAACACAGGAGGCAGGTGTTAGTCCAGTGGAGGAGGAGGAGCATTCTGGGCACCAGGTGCACGGAGTGCCATGGCAGATGGGCCTGGAGAGGAAGCAAGAGACACAGCACAAGAGAGAGCCAAGGAAGTGTTACAGCTGGGGAGTACAGCATCAGATCCGGTTCTAGATCTCTCTGCAGCCAACCACGAGGACAAACAAAGCAAGAGTGTCTGGAAGTGAGGAGACCAATATAGGAGATTCTTTTACCAGTTCCGACAGGAAATGATGAGTGCCTAAAGCTACACAATGTCCAAGATGAAAAAGGAGCAGATTTCAGAAAGATGCTAAAACCTGCATAGTCAGTGACTGGAGGGAAAAGAGGGAAGCATCTAGGATGACTCAGGCTCTGGCGTGGGCAAACGGGTGGGTAAGAGTGATACCCGTCAGGTTAAAACAGGGAATGCAGACGGTGCAAAATTTGAGAAGATAGATCATGAATTCAGCCTGACATACGCTATGACTGTGTTTCTGTGGAACAGTCATATGAACCTGAGGTAGGAATACAAGGCAGGACTTCGAACCAATTCAAACCCCTGCTGAGAATCTGCATTTCTAACAAGTTCCCAGGAAGTTATACATAAGAATCTCGGGAGATCTTGTTAAAATGTAGATTCTGATTCAGTATATCTGGCATGGACATGCAAATCTCGGCAGGAGTTCGAACAGAATGAAGTAGTTCGAAGCCCTGTACAAGAAAGAAGTCTAGCCCGGAAGACAGAAATCATGAGGTTAGAGGTAGAAGTTAGGGGTAGAGGTTAGAGCTATGAGAACTCAGGGACACAGGGCAATAATGTAGGATGGGATTCCCAGGAATATCAATGTTTGAGGGATAGGAGGAAAACAAGTCTTAGAAGCAGATAGGAGAAAATGCTGGAAAAATAGAAAGTATGCAGTCACAACCACCCAACCTCTCTCTCCCCATGGATCCATTCCCCAGTACCCAAGGCAAGGTTCTAAGCACTCACCTGGAAGCCCGTCCCTGGTAAGAGAAACCCTGTCTCTTAAAATAATCAATTGCATCATCAGAGCAGGTCTTGAGGGTGTTCACCCGCACAAATCGAGGCACCTGGAGGGCTAGGAAGCAATCAGCCGTGAGTGGGCAGGACCATAGCCCTCTAAGGGCCTCCATGGCTATCCCCACCCCAGGCTCCTTCCAGCTTACCTGGACCGGGCCTGGATGCCAGTTCCAACAGGTCTTCATTCCGGCTCACACTCCGATGAACTTTGAGCCGGGCCAACTCAGCCTTCAGCCTTGCCTGGTGGCGGGCCACAAGAGGCTTCCATCGGCCCCCACTCCCTCTAAAGCCTCGTCCCAGCAACAACTCATACACTAGCACCTGGGGACAGAAAAAGAGAAAAAAACCTAAGCATTAAAGCCTCAGAACTATGGTGAAGTACCTTATCAAAGATCACGCAAGAAATTACTGGCAGATACAGGATTGGAACCTGGTGTGCTGCCTCCCAGTCTGGGCCCTTTCTCCATAGTTGCTCACGAGCAGATCTCTGGACCCCAACCTTCCCCCGGTCAACATTACCCTTCTGTTTACTTAAAGGGTCTACCACATTGCTACATCGGATCTTATGTAATCCTACACACAAGGCGCGAAGTCAAAGCATTTTCATCCCACTTCAATTCGTAACCAGTGTGGGATCGCTCATACTCATTTCAGATGACCGGCTTGCTAAACCGAGAGCAGTAGCAGAGCTGGGAGCAGATTACAGAACCCTGAGTCTGGGCTCATGTCTGCGGTGTAGGAAGGACTCCCGCCGCGCCCGTCACCTTCGCCAAGTGCGGCCGCAGTTTCTTCTCGGCGCGGAGGAGTCCGGCGCTGGCGATCACGGCGTCCAGCACGACGGAGTAGCGCTGCGTCTCGCACACCAGCGCGTACAGCTGCTTCACGTTCTGCGCGCGGCCAAAAGCAGACAGCTGAGCCGGGAACCGAAACGGCGCCCGCCGCCCCGGGGTCGACCACCCACCACCGCCCGGGCACGGCCCAGACCCCGCCACCGGCCCCGGGACCCCGACGCCACCCTCTCTGCGCCCGGGTCCTGCTACCTGGAAGCGCCTGCCGTACACCAGCCCCTTGATGGAGCCTTGGCGATTCTCCACACCCTCCAGCACGGCCGCCGCGGCCACGTACAACGCCATGCCCCGCCGCGCGCATTTACGGCCCTGTCGCAAAGCGCTCCCGGCCGGACGTCCTGGGTCAAAGGGCACGAGCGTTTTGAGACCCTTGACCCCGAGTTCCCATCAAAGTCGCGCAAAAGGGATGAATCCTTTTACGTTCCCGCCACGGTAAAGGCTCCGAACAATTGGATTTTTACTGCTGTTTTATGTTTTTGGTTTATTTTAATAATTTTTTATTGTGTTTTTGGTGAAGGTTTATTCAGCAGTTTAGGTTCTCATCCAACAATTTCTACACTAGTTGTTCAGTGACATTGATTACATACTTCAGTGTGTGAACATTCTCATTATTTCCCTTCTGGTTGTTACATTTCCATTAATCTAGTTTCCCTGTCCCCTTACATTCTCTTCTTTGTTTTAGAGTAATTGTTAACCATTTGGTCTCATACAGGTGATTTTTTTAAAGGAGCACAGTACTTACGGGCCAATATTTTGTGGGCCAATATGTTATTTAGCTACAAAGTGATCTGAGGGGTTAGTTTTAGTTCAAGATTTGAAGCATATCTCAGGGTAATAGTCCCGGGGAGTCCTTCAGTCTCAACCAGTCCAGTAGGCCTATTTTTGTTTTTTGGAATTTGAGGTTCTTTTCCACATTTTTCTCCCATTATATCAAAGTCTATCTATTGTGGCCCCAATCAGAACACTTGATAGTGGTTCGTGTAGAGTATTTGTCCTGTAGACTAGTTTCTTTGAGTCTTTGGTTTCTTTCTTTCTCTTTTGCTCCAGACGAGTAGAGACCAATAGTTGTGTCTTAGGTGGCCGCCCACAAGCTTTTAACACCCTAGACAGTACTCACCAAAGTAGGATGTAGAACGTAACTTTATGAACTGTGTTATGCCAATTGACCAAGATGTCCCATGAGACTATGGTCCTAATCCTTCAAATCCAGAAATCCAATCCTTTGAGGTGTTTGGTTATGTCTAAGAAATATCTGTAACTGTGCCCCCATGTGCTTTATTATATACTGTCATGCATTGCTTAACGTTTACGAAACATTCTGTGAAATAGGACATTATGTGATTTGGACATTGTGTGAACGCCTGGTTTATCAAAGGTTTCAACAGATTCTTCTGCTTCTTTCACATCAGCACTGGAAGACTCACCACTCACTTTCACATCATGCAGCAAAAAACATTGTTTGAAGTGCTTGAACCACCCAGAGCTAGCACTAAACTCAATATGTAGTCTGGTCCTGCTTTTTCTTTAAGCCTCTCAAACAAGCTTCATACCTTAGCAGTGATCATCACTGTGCTGAGAGGGATTCGCCTTTGTGTTTGATGCCAATCCACGTCATTAGCAATTTCTCCATATCTGACATAGGTCCCTCTCACATTTTCGTTAGCCTTGAAACTTTCAGAAGAGCTGATCCTTTAACAGCTTGGAGAATTTTTTCTTTGTTTTTGAGGTTACGTCCTGCTCTCTAATCAAGATTTCTGAACTCTATTATACCGTTTTGGGACCCGGATGTATATGCGGTTGGACACTGCCCAAATGAATGTTATGTGGCGCACGATTGCATATGAATCTATGTGCATACAGTCATATAGATACATATAAATATACATACAAATATACCTATATATACACACATATATACTCACATATACATACCTATAAACATATGCCTGCATACGTACACATATACCCACACACACATTTTTTGGTCGTTGCAAAGTAGTTAAGAGCTCAGGCTGCTAACCAAAAGGTCAGCAGTTCAAATCCACCAGCCGCTCCTTGGAAACCCTATGGGGCAGTTCTACTCTGTCCTATAGAATCACTATGAGTCGGAATTAACTTGACGGCACACAACAACATAGCAATTACCAAGAGGTCCTTTTTTCTTGTTGACATTTTACCTTCATCGTTTGCCTTCATCAAGCTCTGTACACTTCACCTTCATTTTGTGTTACCTCTCCCATCACCAAAAATAACAAGTGTCTGCAGGGTCGCTATGTGTCAGAATCGACTCAATGGCAAAGGAACTTCTCCCCGTCACCCCATTGCTGGTAACCATTAATGAACATAAGTTTCTGTATATTTACCTGTTCATGTCATTTCATAAAAGTGAGAACATACAATTTTTTTGTTGTGTGATTGACTTATTTCGCTCAACATAATGTCCCCTAGGTTCATCTGTGTTCCAAGATGTTTTGGGAGTTCATTTTTCTTTATTACTGAGTAGTATTCCATTGTAGGTATGCACCACATTTTACTTATCTATTCATGTATTGATGGGCACTTAGGTTGTTTCCATCTTTTTGCTATTGTGAGTAGTGGTGGAATGAACATGGGTGTGTTAGTTATCTAGTGCTGCTATAACAGAAATACCACAAGTGGATGGCTTTAACAAAGAGAAATTTATTCTGTCACAGTTTACTAGGCTACAAGTCCAAATTCAGGGTGTCAGCTCCAGGGGAAGGCTTTCTCTGTCGGCTCTGGAGAAGGTCCATGTCATCAGTCTTCCCTTGGTCTAGGAGCTTCTAAGGTGCAGGGACCCCATGTCCAAAGGACCTGCTCTGCTCCCGGTGCTACTTTCTTGGTGGTATGAGGTCCCCATGTCTCTCTGCTCACTTCTTTCTTTTATATCTCAAAAGAAATTGCCTTAAAACACTTTAATCTTGTAGATCTCATCAATATAACTGCCACTAATCCATCTCATTACATCATAGTGATAGGATTTACAACACATAGGGAAATCAATCATACAATACTGGGAATTGTGATCTAGCCAAGTTGACAGATATTTTTGGGGAACAGAATTCAATCCATGACAGTGTGCATATGTCTGTTCGTGTCACTTCTATTAGATCGCTAGTGTATATAACTGGAATTGCAGGGTCATACGGCAGCTCTACCTCTGGTTTTTTCAGGAACTGCCAGCCTGTTTTCCACAACAGCTGTACCATTTTGCATTCTCACCAGTAGTAGATGAGGGTTCTGATTTCTCTACATCTGCTCCAACACTTGTTATTTTCCATTTTCTTTTGTTTTGTTTATTATCTTAGCCATCCTAGTGGAAGAGAAGTGGTATCTTATTGTGGTTTTGATTTGCATTTCTCTATTGGCTTATGACACTGAGCATCTTTTCATGTGTCTGTTGACCATATAAATATCCTCTTCAGTGAAATGCCTGTTCATGTCCTTTGCCCAGTTTTTTATTGGGTTATTTTTCTTTTTGTTGTTAAGTTGTAGAAGTTTTCTACAGGTAGTCCCCGACTTACGACAGGGTTACACTCTGATGACTCCATTATAAGTCTATTCTGATATAAGTTGAATACCTCATTTTATTTTAGTTTTCATTATTATTGCCTTTTACTGTCAGTATCTTTATAAATCCAATCTTTGTCTTTGGAGATTGGAAACATTACGTAGAAACTTACAGATATATTTTAATACATGCATGTTATTGTTGTTAGGTGCTGTCGAGTCAGTTCCAACTCATAGTGACTCTATGTTCAACAGAACGAAACACTGCTGGTCCTGCACCATCCTCACAATCGTTGTTACGCTTGAGCCCATCGTTACAGCCACTGTGTCAAAACATCTCCTTGAGGGTCTGCCTCTCTTTTGCTGACCCTCTGCTTTACCAAGCATGATGTCATTCTCCAGGGACTGGACCCTCCAAAGTATTTGAGATGAAGTCTCACCATCCTCTCTTCTAAGGAGCATTCTGGCTATACTTCTTCCAAGACAGATTTTTTTGTTCTTCTGGCAATACATGGTATATTCAATATTCTTCACCAACACCATAATTCAAAGGCATCACTTCTTCTTCTGTCTTCCTTATTCATTGTCCAGCTTTCACATGCACATGAGGCGATTGAAAGTATCCTGCCTTGGGTCAGGCGTATGTACCTTGGTCCTCAAAATGACATCTTTGCTTTTTAAGACTTTAAAGAGGTCTTTTGCAGCAGATTTGCCCAATGCAATACGTCATCTGATTTCTTGACTGTTACTTCCATGGATGTTGATTGTGGATCCAAGTAAAATGAAATCCTTGACAATTTCAGTCGTTTGTCTTTTTATCATGATGTTGCTTATTGATCCTGTTGTGAGGATTTTTGTTTTCTTTATGTTGAGGTGTAATCCATACTGAAGTCTGTGGTCTTCGATCTTCATCAGTAACTGCTTCAAGTCCTCTTCAGTTTCAGCAAGCAAGGTTGTGTCATCTGCATATCACAGGTAGTTAACAAGTCTTCTTCCAATCCTGGTGCCGCGTTCTTCTTCATACTCTCCACCTTCTTGGAATATTTGCTCAGCATACAGACTGAATAAGTATGGTGAAAGGATACAACCCTGACACACACCTTTGTTGATTTTAAAGCAAGCAGTATCCTCTTGTTCTGTTCGAATGACTGCCTCATGGACTATGTACAGGTTCCTCATGAGCACAATTAAGTGTTCTAGAATTCCCGTTCTTCACAAGGTTATCCATAATTTGTTAATAATCTGTATGGTAGAATATCTTTGTATAGTCAGTAATACACAGGTAAACATCTTTCTGGTATTCTCTGCTTTCAGCCAAGATCTGTCTGACATCAGCAATGATATCCTTGATTCCATGTCATCTTTTGAATCTGGCTTCAATTTCCGACAGTTCCCTGTCGATGTACTATTGCTGCGGCTGCTTTTGAATTATCTTCAGCAAAATTTTACTTATGTGTGATATTAATGATATTGGTTGATAATTTCTACATTCTGTTGGGTCACTTTTCTTTGCAATGGGCACATATATGGGTCTTCCAGTAGGTTGACCAGGTAGCTGTCTTCCAAGTTTGTTGGCATAGACGAGGGAGCACCTCCACTGTTGCATCCATTTGTTAAAACATCTCAATTGTATTCCGTCAATTCCTGGAGCCTTGTTTTTTGCCAATGCCATCAGTGTAGCATGGACTGCTTCCTTCAATACCATTGGTTCTTGATCATATACTGCTTCCTGAAATGGCTGAACATCGACCAATTCT